GATTCGATGCTCAAGCGGCCAATCTGGTCGAATACGGATATTTGAGGCACGAGTTTTTAGTGCGCTTTTCAATAATATGTCTCTTTCTTTAAAACTCTCGAGAACCAGCTTCAGGATTCTTCTTGGTTGAGTATCGCCTCCAACCCGTTTACCAAGTCGTATTACTTTTTGTAATATGTACCCCTGAAACCTCTTCAGGTATTACATTCCTCACCGCAGACTCCACTAACTGCAGGTCATGTGCATGTCTTCTAGCAGGGTCCTTGTCTTTCGACTCCTCTAGATTCCAAATAATTAAACTAGGGAAGGGTTTAGCTTCTTTTGAAACTGTGCTCACAGCTTTCGACCATGACGTTAGATCCTGTATTTCGACTGGTATCTTACGATTAGTTTTTATTGTAACAGAGTCCTGGGAGTCAAGCGAGTGACTCACAACATTGTTTGACGAGGATTTACTTTGAGACTTTGGCAGAGTAGTCGGAGAGTGCACCAAGGACTTATCAAGTAAACGGGCATTAGTTTTAACTATGTTACTTACTCTTCTGCGTTTCCGCGTCATCCATTTTCCATTAGTCGTAGCATCGACACTAGAACTACTCGGGGCAGTAACTGTTTTGCCTGGATCACTGGTCGCTGCTGTAGCAACATGGCCACCAATATCTAATGACGTGTCACCCACTGATTGTTTCGGGGTAGAAGGTTCAATAGCGGGTTGCACAGCTAGATGTCTGGTTTGCGCCGTGATAGCACTTACGACACTGACGCAGTCTTCACCATCAGTACGAATGTTACCAGTAAAGCCCTCGTCGACCTTCTTATTAGCCAACACAAGGAGGCTAATTGCTTCCAGGATGAGCAATGTTTTGCTCGAGCAACGAAAAATACAAATCCAATGAGGGTTGGGCTCTGAGAACCTTTTATATGCAGTGGGGCTTAATCGGGTGCACATCTTATGGAAGCACTAATTACACTCATCGCATCGCATCCCTTCCTCCACTGGGAATAAGCAATATGGTTGTCCACATTTATGAGCAGGGCTGGCCATCTTGAGAAAATCAACTACAATGGTGACAAAAACAGGATATGTGAAAGGATTCTCAAACCTTAACCAAATAAATCAAGTAAAAGTCGACCAAGTATGCTTCGATACAATAAATACACAAAAGCAAAATCGAAACACTCAATACAATATCACTTTAACTGGAATAGATTCAATCAAAGTGTAAACAGTAGTTTTGATGCGTAATTTACGATCAAAACAGTTAATTAACTCAAAATGAAACAATACCACTGTACTCTTAAATAGCGCGCTCGTACAAAAGAAATATTAGTTCGTAAAAATACCACAGTTAACATGCTGTGATACCTTTATAAGAATGAGCAACCAACCAGCTTCAGTACTCGATACCTCTCTCCCATTCATTTCCTGCTTATGGAGTATTGTAAGAAGATTGCTACCAAAAATCTTTGAACCCAGAACATAGTGGGTTCTAGAATGACCTTTAGAAGACTGATAGCTTCTAGTCAGTCTAGTAGCGGGAAATATGAATAAACAGTTAATGGGACAGGTGAAGTGAATCGCAAAGTAATGATGACTCCACAAACCCCTCAGTTATCCTTTGTATCGAGTTAGATAAAAAGGTTTTTCCATATGCTTTCAAAGTATTTTTCTAGAGAGTCTATATGTATTTGTAAATAGTTTAGCGACCTAAACGAACGCAGTCGCGTAAATGACCAATCTCATTATCTTGGGGAAATTTTTAAAAACTTTGGATGAATTTCTGGACTTTCCCCAGTCGTAAGAAATATGGTAGTTTTCCCCAGACATTTCTGAGATTTCCCCAAAACTTTTGGGATTTTTCCCTGATCTGGGAATTTTTCGGGATTTTTGTGCCGTTTCCCCAAAGTTTTCTGTAGCGATTTCCCCGGCGAGAGTATAATTTATGGATGAACCAATCATGTATAAGATCTCGCATTTTGGCACGAAATTCACTCATCCATTCGTCTGGAAGGAGTTTTGGCTATATAGCTGCTGTCAGTTCGTGATGAAAACCCTAAATTTAGTTTCTAACATTAATCATCAACTGTAAATCTTAGTTCTAATTCCTCAAACTGGTTCATAGCCCTCTTCTGATTCTGGTTCACGCAGACCGGACACGATTTTCCTCAGAATAGGGAGATTGTGTACCTTTATAAAGATAACCCATATTTGAAGAGTTAGTTTGGTCGCAGTTAGCCAATGCGTCGAATAAAACCTTTGTTTCATAAACTTCTACTTTAGTGGAAAGGGAACTAATCCATTCTGATTGCATTCCTTCACCACTGAGGATTTAATTAAATACCATTCATCTCTACCATACAATCACTTCGCGATCGGCGTCTCAGGTCACTAAAATCCCGCCATTTCGTAACAAGTTTGTTCTGCTTTCTAGACGAACTATTTGTACTGGAGTTAACTGTTTAAAAAACACGATGTATACTAAGTTCATTAAGTAGTTCCCCCCTGTTTTTACTAACATGACGTCATTGAGTAACGGTCCTATGAAAGTAGAATATACAGTTGGTTTCATACAGACTGTGGGTCTTCCTGAGTTGGTAGTTGTATTTCCTTACTGCTTAGGCTTTATTTAATGAATCGTAGATGTGGATTATTTCCCATTTCACTCGGTGTCTTGACTTTAGTTTGCCTAACCGTACACTGTAGCCTAATCGAAGTACCCTTCGATATACCTTTGTTTGATCCTGTTTGACATGAATGGTTTTTTAAGGTTATCTAAGTTTCTGGAAAGGAATCCAAGCGATCTTCATTACTGTAGCTTATATTTTGTTGGTTGAGGAACACTACCGTAATAATCATGTCATTTCCTGCGGCCGAAAATGTCATACCAGAGTCTCTCAAAGGCTACAAAGTCAATATGTTCTGCTCACCATTGGCACTACACACTTAATGTTAAGCGAAAGATTCTCAATCATTTACTTATATCTCGTTCAAAAAAGTTCGACTGGTTTTGCCTTCTTATCATCCTTCGAAATCAAGTCACATGGTCTTTATAGCTGGTAGGCGAATTATTTTCACCCATAACTTAATTCTCATACATAAAACCAGTTTTTAGTGTTACAACGGGTCACACTACTACAAGGGAGGTCGCGTTACTGACAGCGACTAATATCGTTTTGGTTACTATCTCTGTGAAGTAGCACATACTTGTCCTTGCTGTACTGTCACCCTGAGATCCTTCAGCCGCTAAGGCTGACAGGGTGGCTGACCACTTTGTTGCCTATGATCGGTCTGGACGCTGAAGTAGTTGGGACGTCTATGAAAAAAGATCAGACAAAAATTAGGACAGTGGCACCCTTAAAAACACATCGATTGAGGCTGATTATTCCGATGACCATCAAGCAAATATGTAAATTGAAACCAGAGCAGGGATTGGTAGATCCAACGCTTAAACATGACTAATTAGACGGGTTTGAACTAGAATAGGAAACGAAAGAGTTTAATGTAAGTGGTAGTTGTCATGACATCCTATAATTTCTATTTCTATTGTATCGTTTAACTGTACCAAAGCAGCATATTCCCTTTTGTACTTAGAAAGCCGTTATTATGGTTCTCCGATCTTGTTTGAGGAGCAGATGGCCGACATTAACATTGTTAAGTCCTCATAGTGATAGTGTTGAATAAATTGTCTGCGTTCAATGGTAGCTTTTACCAGTTATATTTTTAGGAGAACTCGATTGCATCACTTTTGTCCAGAACAGACACGGCACAGTGTCCAAATGGCATGTGTTGTTTCACTGTTCTTTAGCTAGACCTAATCTACACGGCTTTCTCATTATGGATAATACAACAACATAAGACTGAAAATAGTTCTGGTCATTTAAATTTTTAGTTCTCGATGTAGTACATAGGAAGAATTCGAATACGAGAGTGATCTAGATGAAGGACACTAAACCTCGTAAGTAAGTTGATAAGCTAATTGAAGTTAACACTGATATAGCATAGCTGCCTTTGTACTATTGTGACCATTAACCATTCTGTCACTCGAGCCCGTAAAACTTGGTGTCCAACTCGAAATCCATTGTGAATATATGTTGTTGCACCGTTAAGCTAAGCACATGCTCCAGCAATCTCATTCGATTGGTGTTTATATAGAAAGATTTGCCTTTACTGGGAAGTTTATGTCAAATATTAAAACAACTCAATAAATCTGCCATTATCCACAGCGATATTTCCAAAGCAGCACTTACATATAGTTTACTTATTTAACCCATCTCTGGTCACGTTTTACGATTGTTTTATGGGTGAAGAGGTGGGTGAGCTGTTTTTTTTGTCTGAGTTCCAATGTATCGCAGTTATGGTGAATGTAGAGTCTGGCCTAGATATTTGTCATCCAAATTATCGTACCATTTCACCAGAGCGAGATGAAATTAAGGTAAATGACAGGTCAAAATGGTAGTAATATTGAAGATAGTGAGAGACTAATCACATGAAAAGCATGATCTGAAAAGAAGTTATGGGTGAAATAATATATCAACTCATAACTTAGAAGTAGGTAATAGTGATTACACATCGAGGTAAGTTTAGTTTCAGGATACGCAGTGCATGTTCTACGCATCTCAGGTGATGCAGCTCTACAGTCATGTCAGCTGCATTTACATCGTTAACCAGATTTTTACGTCCAACTTCACTTTTTCTCATTCCCCTCATTCTTGAGCAATGTGTGTATTTCACCAACTACCAGTCGGACTTTCTTATTCACAATAAACTTTGTTTGTTTAAGTTATGTGCATCATCGTGATATTCCGGCCTCGTTAGTATTCGATTTGCCAGGTTTTTTTAAGCCTATGAACTTTCATCGTTCTAGAGATTGTGTTATATATAGTACTTGTAATATTGATTAGGAAGTCATATTTTCCTCTACAGGTTGCTGGATTGCATTGCAAAGCTTTTCGGTTAATCTTTCGAGCTAACCAGCTGACTTCCATCTGGTGTACAAATTATGAGCTCACAAGGTTTACCTCCTGGATGGTCTATGGGTTATGATAGTATCACTGGTTTCCCATTTTTTATCGATCACATTAACAAGTCAACTACATGGGAAGATCCACGAAAGTCTAAAACTCAAGTGAGTCTATATCAACATAACCGTTAACAAAATTGTGTCCATACAACAACTTCAAACAATAATAATGCAATTGTTTGATTTGTTGGTATGTTTATAGTGCTTAAAATCATAGCTTGAAACCGTTACAACATATCGTCTTTATTTAGCTGTTCCACGTTTCATAACCAAGTTGAAGCTTAAATCATCGAACCAATGGTACTAAACAGCTGTTTTTTCATTACCTTTGTTGGTGTGTGTGACCTTTCGACTGTTAATCAATGATGAATGTAATGATTTATAGTCTTGTAAAGTATGTGTTCGTCGTGTGTAGTTAATGGTTTAGGTTTATAAAATTGTCCTTTGATTGACAACCTCATATGTACTAATAAACTTTCATCCTTTAAGTGGTTGTACTATTAACTAGTTTTCCAGTTGGCCTGTTCTTTCTCTACTCTTACCAGACCTTGAACTTATATTTTTTTGTTTTTAAAAATAATTAGATTAGGTCTCTTTATTCAGTTATTATGGAATTTCGAATCACGAAGCTACTACTACAGTAATTTAATTGAATAATTTCATAATAAAGATATTTTAAAAATTGTACACATAAAATATAAAGCATTTCAATTCTATGTACAGGTATATAGTTAGGGGGTTAAAGTTACACCGATAATTTTCTTGCAATTTTGATCAACTGATGAAAACAGATTTTTTTCGAGAAGGTCAAGGGTTTGTTAATATGTTAGAAACTTCAATGGTGATTCATAACTAGGATGATCGTCGAAGTCTTTTGTTGATAGAAATACTAAATATACGGAATCTCCTATACTTTCTAACCTCTAAACCAATATTGATAATTGTTGACAAACTAAATTTAAGACAGTTTTCTAGAAAGACGATAGTACTGAATAGACTAAATTTTAAAGACTTTCGAGGATATTTTAAACAATAGGAAGTGTTCTTATGGACTCTAAATTTAGTAGAATAAAATTCTTGTCCTCAGTTGGATTGTTTACTGAACAGTCTGTGTATATACTTATATTGTTTTCAACAACAGATACAGATTAATACAGACACTACTGTCACCAGTAATTGTGTACTCATCGTCTCAATATTAGCGAGTTGTATATGTATAATTTAGGCAATAGAATGATCACTTCGTGGATTGGTTGAAGTTGGACATTAACACCGTTGGATGCCGGCTCAGTGGTCTAGTGGTCAAGTGCTCGCACGCGAAGCCAGTAGGTCCTGGGTTCGAACCCCGCGTGGTGCGGACTGCTGAGGAGTCCCATACTAGGACGAAACGGCCGTCCAGTACTTCCAGGTTTTCCATGGTGGTCTAGCTTCAATCGACTCATGATTTCAACCTATGAAATTTCTAAAAAAAACTCCACAAAACCCATTCCGATAATTTTCAATAAGTTTAATTCTGTCAACTAAGTACACTCAACGCAACACTGAGTTGTACTGAACGAAAATTCATATAACTTTAGTTGGTTAATTTTCAACTGTCACTTGCTTCAGTAGGATCCAGTTATTTCTTAAGAATAAAGAGTTTAACGTACATATTCCTACGTCAATCTTAATGAGGTCTATGATTGTGTTGTTTTTATAAAACGGTGAAGCGTTTTTAATCCAACTCAGCCAGTAAACATTCAGTCAATATCCCCTACTTGTCTATAAAATATAACAAAGGAGCAAACTCTGATAACTGTCTTACTTTTTGATGTCGAACGAAAATAATGTGATTCTTAAACAGTTTGTAATAATTTATATACCTAATTGTAGAATTCTGGCTGTTCCATTCTATTTTCGGTAAAGCATCATTGAAATTCTGTATTTTAGACGAAAAACAATACGAAACTGATATTAACACCCTATAAGCCTATAAACATCTCCCATCATAACTGAATGTATAGATCAATAATTCAATTTTCATATTTCATCAGCTGATATAGACTATAACGTTCTTTTAGAATATCTTATTCAAAATAGTTTATTTGAAAAATTCACTTTTATTGACTGGATTGTAGCGTGGAGTCGAGTCTCAGTTGACTATGAACACCATTACAAGAAGACTACGTGCCAGTTGACCGATAAAATCCCCTGTAAGTCAGAAGGCGGTTAATGGCTGTAGTCGAGATGTATTTGTTGGCGATCTCGTGGTATCGAAAGGATACCGAAATCCTGCCAAAGGAGTACAAGCGTGGTTACCGAGCGCAACCGAACCCGTGCAAGGTCACAATCCGCGGGAAAGTGATGGAGGAGTAATATGGCTGTCTTTAGCACAGTTAAACAAAAGAGCACAGTAAAACAATCACTGGTACAATTGGTTATAATAATGATTGTTTCCATTCAATCAGTCGCATTCTCTTGATAAAAGGTCACTACACAGTAAACACACGTTAAGAATACTGTCTAGTAGTAATGGTGAAACAAAATATTTTTCTGATAGATTGAACTTTTTGTGAATCTGTCGTTCGAATCTCGTAAGGCGGCATCGTAGATGGTCATTGATGAAAAGTTCTATACTAAGATGGAACGGCCGTTCAATGCTTCCAGGTTTTCAACGGTGGTGTCTAGCTTAGATCAACTCGTAAATTCATCTATGAAAATGCTACAATCTCCGAAAATTCTGATACTAATAGAAAATATTTTTTTAAAGTGAATAGTTATCCTATCAACGAAAGCGAGAATATGACATTAATGATATAGAATACAACGTATTCATCATTAGGTATTTTTTAGCTACACACATATACAATCTAATACATTTAGTCATTTTACATTGTTTACACTATAATTTGGAATTTACACAATATAAATTGTTTAATTACAAAGTATAGACTGTAAAAGAAAATACCAAAAATGATGACAGTACTTAAATATTTTAAGATCATTTTTGTTACTCAATATAATGAGAATTTTAAAGGAGGTTTAGAAAGAACTAATCAGTTAATTAAGTTATGATTATAATGGATTGAATGATAGAAAAAAAATTAAGAATAGAAGTCAATATACTCAGGTTATCATGACAGATGTTAGTTAATTACTTACTTGTTTAAACATAAAGGTCATGTTTAAGCTTTCTAAGTTGTTATGACTTCACTAAATTCCAATTATGTAGAATTACGTTGTTATTCGATTATTTTGCGTGAATGAATACATTCAGTCTGTCAGTCAACTACACTGTAGGACCAGGCACATATAAGCATCGGTCCAAGCTCCCATACCTCATTAGCACAACAAGATCAACACCAAACTCATAGAAGTAGTTAATCCAATGGTGGTAATATATAAAAGGAAGATTGCCTATAAGGGAGAATTAGTTCGTAGAAAGAAAGATATGAAGCGATTTTAATCACATAGTTTAAGGGCAAACAAAGAATGTATACACCTACACCATTGTGATCGATTCTCAATCATGTCACCAAGAGTCTCCAACCATTGGTTACGATAGTCACACGGACCCCAACCAAGTAGTCTGTATCTCCCAACATGGCTCAGACTAGAAGTTAGTGACTTCAAGCGCTGATGCCACGTTTTGTTTTGGCCGCCCCTAACTTTCAACCATCTCCAACACCGGTTAGCGTTGCACGTCGTGGTAATCGGTGTTCAGGCATACGTAACACGTTGCATTCTCTTTAAGATAGCCACTCAAGATATTGCTCGAATATGGACTTACAAAATGCATACCTTGTACGGCCTATATAACGTGCTCCATCAAAGCAAGTAAACTGAGGTGACCCAAAGCGGCAGTTTATCTTTGAGACTTCGCTGAAAGTTCGTATACTGTCCGTTCCAAGTAGGATTTCTGAATCACATCCGATACATGAATAACTTTGACTATCTTGGATAATTTATTAACACTCTTCTATTTTACTATAGACTAATTCACGCAAAAAACTAGCGATAAATACGATTGTACAGTTTCAAAAAAATGATATCGTCAAAAAGAAAAGATTTTCTTTACTGAAGCATCTTCACGTCTTCAAAATTAATTTTGTGCTAAATTTAAATTATTTTTATGTTAACCGTTCCAAATAATCAAACTTACTAGCTGGTACATGTGCTTAGTTGAAAAGAAAGCAACTAAAAATACGTAGTGAATTCATCGTATTCTACAATTAATGTCGTATTCTTGCTTTATTTAATAAATTTGTCACTAGTGGACACATGATTATTATCAGCATGGAGATTTTTGGAGATTGTAGTGTTTTTACAGTTGAATTCACGAGTCAATCTAAAATGTGGAGTCCCGTATTAGGAGGAAACTTCAGTCCAGTGCTTCTAGGTTTTTCAACGGTGGTCTAGCTTAAATCGATTCGTCAATTCAACTGTGAAAATACTACAATCTCCAAAAATCCTCATACTGACAATTGAGAAATGTTCTGATCACTTTTCTTTTTCATAAAAGAGGGGTGTGTGGCTCCGTAAGTAAACCACCTATTTTGGTCTGGGCACCCTGGTAATAAGTATTACAGCCCTCACACAAATCAATGATAACTGCTACTGGCTTCATTGTTTTTGTGTAGCGCATATGTGTTTGGTGCCCCCTTGTACCAATGTTTATCTGTTCAAATAAATAAATAAGTCTATAAAAGATATCAGAGACATTGGTTATTTAAGAGAGTGGCTAAATATTGGTATCGATTGTACAGTTTGTTAATCTTATTAATGTTCTATTATTAATTACAACCTTGACCTTTGTGTTGCATATTAATCAACAAGCTTGCAAAGTAATTTTTCAAAATAAATCTATTTTAAGAAAAAGGTAGTTTAAAATGGTGCATATTCAATTATTTGTACTTACTATAAGAAAATGTACTATATATATATATATATATATATATATATCTGTAGACCAACATACTATATAGTTCAATCATTTATTAATGACAGCTAAATGTTCGTTTCTAAGACGAATGAACCGTTTTTGTAGTTTCTTATTTTTAGTTTTATTTCAGGTTTATAAACTTTTAAGAACAATGAAAATGTTACGTTTTAGATGTATAAAATAGTTATTTGAGAAAATGAACTCCTTTTTGTAATAGTTGAATTCATTAGTCTATGTAAGACAATGAATGAATGGTTGCACAAGACCATGGACCGATTGAAATGAAGCATGAACATCGTTGGATGCCGGCTCAGTTGTTTAGAGGTTAAGCGTCCGCACGAGTGACATAAATCTCTGTGTTCGAGTCCCGCATGGGGGATTGTGGATGCACACTGCTGGGGAGTCTCATACTGGGACGAAACGGCCATCCAGTGCTTCCAGTTTTTCAATGGTGATCTAGCTTGCATCAACTCATGAATTCAACTATTAAAAAATTACTACAGTCCCCACAAAACCCTCATTATGATCATAAAATGAATTCTCATTTATGGGAATAATTGTTATATTTCAAGCGTTTATGTGACTGAATTTGTTTACGCGCAATGATTCTCAGTTTTGAAGAACTGGGTTGAAAGGAAAATACAGGCAATCAAGCCAAAATATGATACTAGTTCATAGAGTTATTGATTGTTGGATTAAGGCGTGTTGGTAGGTGCAAATGACTTGATCCACGCAATCATTGTGACCAGTGGTTTGAAAGACATTGAAGGATATGAAATGGCTTAAGCCGATCACATTCCCCCACATTTATTCGTTGTCTATCTTCCCTTAAATTTTGAGTTTTATAATTATCTCATCCTTTTCTTTGCCAAGAATTCATTCTCATATTATACTTTCTATGCATAATATTTTTTATTACTAATTTTGACACTGTTACTACTTGCATTATTTTGGGATTCGTATTGATGATTTCACCTCGTTATAGTGATTATATATATCAAGTTCTACGTTGCTTGTGACTGACTGATTTACTGGGATTCTAGGCGAATCTTTCAAAATGTTCATGATCCCAGTCTACCACTGTCAGTATCTATTTATACCAATGTTTAAAATACTAAACATTTTGAAATTAAACTACTTAGAAATAAATATATTTTTCTGATTGAGTGATAGTACTATTTATTTATGTGATGGAATACAAGTTAAGGTAAATTATTTGTTGATAAGGCATTGATTTTCCTCGGAAACACGTTTTTTTTAATCCCTCTAAACTGGGTCTTATGCAACTAATTGACATGTTTATATTCATCACTTAAAACTAACATGAAAAACATTTCTTTCCATAAAATTTCCTCTTTATTTATCTCATTGTGATGATGTTTATGTCTCTTATGTAATTTAGAATTTTATAATCCTTATCCTATATTCATATTTTTAATGATTTCTCCGCTATATTTCTATAATCTAGAGTAATATCACACAAAATTTACAATCTGTCCCATCTTATTCATCTGAATCTATTAATAATCGTCGACAATATAACCTTCCTGGAAATGAACCAGTGATCGATCCTTCCAATCCAGGAGATATTAAATTAGGCAATGTAGGAGATAACATTCAACGTAAAATTCAATCACATTATGATAATGTTAGTGAACCAATACCAATCAAGGTAAGCTGATATAGTTGTCTTTTGACTTAACTATGTGTGATGTTAACCATTATTATTTTTTGGGGGACTTAATTTGAGAGCTCTATTGTCCTATATGATATTTCAAATAAATCTAACATTCACCTTTCCCCTATACACTCTCCAAGTATCTTCATATCTAAAGGAGAATAATCGGTAAAGTGTTTTGGCATCTCTTCAATCAAGACTCAATTGTTATATCTGCTTTGGTGTAAAAAACGGAACTTAACCACATAGAGTTAATCAATGATTTGACTGATAATCTCACTAAATTGAACAACGATAGTTAGCTGTATTGGATTATAGGTTTCAACGTCATCGTTTTAACTATTTTCAACTGTGCTTCCTGAAAATCTTGTTGCCTTTACTATATAGTAGTACTGAGATCCAGTGATAACTCTTTTCACATACATACATCTATTGGTCGACATTTCTATAAGCCTGTCAAGTTGTCATTTTTAATTAGGGTTTCATCAGTGATCTTATAAACTAATGATCCAGCTACTGAATTATTCTGTCTGTACTTTTTCTTTCAGATACCTTTATTGTAAGAGCGAACCTTTCAGTTTCATTCACAATTATACACTGTTCTTCCCTTTATTTGTACAAAACTAAATTAAATAATTATGTTCAGTAATGTCTTTTGTCAATTAGCCTGACAACTATTTAGAAACCCTTTTATGGTTTTTATAGTTTAAATCATTTACTGGTCTTAGCTAAACCATTTTTGAAAACCTGATAGCACTGAACGACCGTTTCGTCCTAATGTGGGACTTCTCAGCAGAGCGTATTTACGAACTCGCATCGGGTAATCAAACAGAAGACTTTCGGTCTCATGTCCAAACGCTTGACTTCTAGACCACTGGACAAGTATCTGATGACGTACATGTCTATCTTCAGTCAGTTCATGATATTGCACAACCCTCATCGCTTACCTAGAGTGAATATCTGTCTCACTCAACATGATTGGAGTCCGCCGATCACTCCTCACTAGGATTCCGGTAGTTGGATCTTGAAGCTTGTCGCTAGTGAGCACATGGTTATAACTACTACATGGGGTTTACAGAACTATGGAATTTTCGTAGTTTAGATCGTGAACTTAGCTAGTGTAACTGCCTTATGCACTTTGAGTTTGGTATTTAATTTGTGTTCCTGTAGTTTAGGTAGTTCCATGTTAAGGTTCTTAATAAAGCCTCAAACCTGATCAATCGCACCTACTTGATTGATCCTGCTGCATTTCCAGTCTAGCACTATCTGGATATTAGTTTAAAGACTTTCACGCTCAAGTAAACCTTTTTATCACAGCCTTTTTGCTTAAATTCTTTTTATTTTCCGGTAAATAAACTACATATCTAATTGTTTTTCTCAACTATTCACATGATAATCTATTAGGAAATTCTCCTCTTTAGAATTATAACTACTTATAAGTAATATGGCTGGACTGTTTAAGCACGACATAGCTCTATATTTATACACTATTAGACAGGTTTAGGTAATTAATACAATACAATGATGGATTGTTTTTGTGCTCATCGATAAAATTACAGCATGTTCGTACTTGTTACTTCAGTAAACTTTGTTTTTTTTAGCGATATTATTTGGTATCACAGATTGTTCATCAAACAGTGCCCGGTTTGACATCGGTGATAATCCTTCCATCGTATCGTTTACAACTTGAATAACCAGAGATCAATATTTATAGTTGTGAGATTAAATGTGTGTGGTAGTTTGCATACTTGTCAAAATATGAGTTACACTTGAACGTTGCAAACAACCTTACTGATTAATAGCGTCAATCAATAGCGCTCAATGACCAGTTTGATTACGTGTTAACAATTAGAAAATAAAGTGTTGTTTACACTACTACCCGACTAGCTGTTTATGTCAATGTGACTTTTGTTGTTGTTGTTGTTGTTATTCTTGCATTATTAATCATTTGACTTGAACATATTGACTATAGTTGTATTAGAATTGTATATGTTATTAGAAATATTTTCTTTCATTTTAACAACTCTTACCAAGGTGCATTCTATCAGCTCTTCGAATAATAATAATAATAACAATAATAATAATAATAGTAACCATCATGAATATGAACAAAAGCTGAACAACACCCCAGCAACTCAGTCGTTTGATTCATATAAACCTAATCAAAATTCTTCCACAAATAAAAGCGAATCAATTCCTATCAAATCTGTTTCTGTTAAAATTTCAGATGATAATAATAATAATAATGATAATAATAATGAAAATGTATCTCAACCAACAACATCAGATCCATTCTCTCTTATAGAACAAGCTCAATGTGAACTTGCAGAAATAGAAACTGAGATTAGCGGGTTTACTTGTGAGTTGACTTATTTATTAAAAATATTTTGTACCGTATTATTATATACATATATAAGTATGTATATGTATTAATGAATCCGATAGTTTATACTGTGGAAAAACTCAGGTATAAGCGAGCAATATTGTTTTCATTTAGCTTTACTCTATTTTACAGTGATGTTTATATAAAAATCTTAAACCAATCAAGACAGTTTATGGGTCAATGAAAAAGGATTACATAACTAATCGTTATAAGTAAATTACACAAGTCGATAATAGAATAACAATTGTAGTAACAATGGTACGTATAATTAACGAAATGATGATATGAACAAACTTATTGATATATGAAATGGGTCAAAGCTTAAGAGAATAAACTGACCAAGATACTAATCATTATAAATTATGTAATAGGAAATGCATGTTAGCAGTCAAATAAAACATTTAAGTAGTAAAAAAAAGAGTTACGAAGATCTCGACTGGAGGGGGGGGATCCAGATGAACCTACAGATGCCAGTCCTGTGTAACTGTCTTTCATACCAAGATTTATGTCATAAACTGATCATCCTTTTTCCATTAAATTCCAATGTCTGCTAATGATAAATAATATGGTAGTCTGTGGAACAATATTCGTAACACGTATTCAATATACTGAAGTTCGATTTGGGTATACTATATCATGATTTCATATTAAGGATGGGAGAGTTTCCTGAAGACATCCAAACCACAACTACATGCTTCACAGTTGTCTTCAGGATATCATCGATGCATAAGTTTGGGGTCGGCCAGGAGTCTTCAACTTCACTTTTGACTTGAGACAATGGAGAGGTGGTTGTAAGCTCTCACTCTGCCTGAAATGTTTATTTACAGTGCATTTAGTTTATTCATATACTTCTCAGGGACCATTCTTAATCCAGGCTTGAGTTTCAGAAGCATTGCATCGATTAGCTTATCTGTGATTACACCATTGGTGGTTGATGTTCCTCATGTCAGTTTTTCAGTTTGGGAGGAGCCTTCCACCCTACTAACACACGAGCAGTTGTCAGTGGGAATCTGATAAGTGGGTCTCGATTTGGCTAGGGCACTTAGTGTGACATCGGTACCAGCTAAAATATACATCGATGGTACGGGGCCCTTGAGTGAGCGTATGTGAAACAGGTTTTTGGAATCGACAAATAGAGATTACATTCTCATTTCCTTATTAGAGTCTTGTATCGAAGTCTCAAAAATTCAATACTTCAACGTTATGATTTTTCAAAAGACAGCCTAAGGTATCGTCAGCAGTGTGAATAACCAAAGAGCGCTATCGTCTAAATTCGTAGTGACTCAAAGTTTCTAGAACATTTTTTCGTAGTTATCCATCAATGTGTTTGTATTTGGGATGTGGTACTCCCTGTATTGCTAAACCGAAGCACGTGTTTCCTTAAGGTATTACCTCTTTAGTCTTTGATCTGAAGGTCTAGTCCACAAATGAGTTGAACAACTTCAGAAGATCTCAGTCCCATAAAACCTGGTAACTAAATCAGGTTTATACACCACACTTTTCCTCAGGGTCGTACAGCTCATTTACATCATTGAAATCAACATTTTCCAACTCCACTAGATAAAACTTTATTCAACGACCCTGTTCTAGTCTCTTTAACACCTGCTTTTCGACTTCACTTTGGTAGAAATTACCATTACTACATGTAAGCAATAAGTGTGGTTTATAATGTTTTTTTAAACAATATTGATAGTGACCCATTTTATTAGTCAAGCATAAATACTAATAAAATTACGTGAGGATGGTTGTATCCCCAACTCTGCGTTGAATTTCCCGACAAATTAAATTTAATCTGAATAATTTATACTGAAGGCATAGAAGAAGGTTTCTATTAGTTCCTTTCAATAAATTCAATTATTGTATTTATCGTTGTCTTATTTTTGTGATTCATATAATGGTATTTGTTTACTTACATATTTATTTAAACACATAAACATAGGTACAGGAAGACATTAAATAGACGTGCGCCACAAAAATCATTCGATTTGTGTGAGTGTTAGGAAACTGCCCGGGTGCTCAAACCAAAGCGGGTGCTTTTCTTAGGGGCCACACCCCGAGCCTTTGACCTAAAGGTCTAATCCATAAGGCAGTGAAGCAACGTAAGGATATACAGTCCCATTGTAGCCGGTGACCAACGATTGGTTCATACGCGATTTGTTTCCTTAGGATCCCGGATTCCATGTACACCTTTGTTTTGAAATGTGGGTTTTCCAACTCCCCTAGGTGGATCTTCCATATCCACCAACCCGGTTAAAGCCGATTACTAGAAGACTACACCGATTTAAAGTATGAATGATCTTTGTATACCTTCATTATGATGAAATTAATGAATCTTTTTTATATTCTCATACATAATTTTATCCAACTCCATGTTGATATATATTTATATATTTTTTCCAGCTTCATATAAAACTAAAGCTTATCTGTTACTCGAAGATAAACTTGATAAGCTTATGCTACGATTGGATAAAATCGATTCATCTGGTGAAACATTTATCAGAAATAAACGTCGTGAAGTTATATTGGCTGTTCAAAATGCTCTTAAAAATCTTGAAAGTAAACTGACACAAATAAAATCAGATAATCAAGAGCATGATATCAGTTTAACTGATCAATCTTCTTCTTCTTCTAATAACAATAATAATACCAATGATAATATAAATAAACAAGTTCACTCATCTATAGATTCTAGAGAAATTCATATAGGTTCTAATGAAGAATGTCAAAACAAGTAGATCATTCTCTATGGTACTTTATCTTATTCTTTAAAACTTCAATGTAGTTCATTATTTTCCCGTCTACATTATAATATTTTCTGATTATTATTATTATCATTATTACCATTATCATGTGAATAGTTTATTTGCTTGTATAAAAAAACTAATATGACCATAATTGATGCGTTCATTATTGAAAAGTCTTCTTAGTCGCTTTATCATGCTACAATAGAAATTTTAAACTTTTTCTCCATCCTGTTCATATCAAGATATGACGATATTAACTTCTTTTGTCACCATAGTCGGAAGTTGTCTCTGGTATTTATGTTTTGTTCACATAAAACATAAAGAGAATGTCCAGTTATACTTGATTTTGAGGGGGCTTTTTAAATATAATATTTTTATTTCATAGTCACTTTGTGGTAACTTCATTAATGTCCTTACACAAAATTTGTCAGACTAATTGATTGTAATTGATTTACAGTAGTAAACTCATCGTGAGCTATGGCAAGAGTGTTATGAATACTAGAAACAGCATGGCAACTTAAATTTAGTAAGGCAGTCAATTTCAGTTCATTTATTACGAAAAACGAGTTATATTAATAGGCAGTGAAGGTTCAAATCATTCAGTCGTTTTTTGTTATCCAAGAGGTGGGAGTTATCCAACATTTTTGCTCATTTGTCTGCATATAGATGATTTTTACCAGCCTTCATTTGAAGCCCTAACTCACACCTTATTCGTTTTCCATCCGGCATGTTGGGATGCACTGCACTAAAGTGTATTCATAACAGACAGATGTGTGAAATGAAGTCCCCAGTAAGGTTACACTTTCATGCAGCACCCACCCATTAAAGAAACGGAACAACGCTGTATACTGCACATCTAATAAAAGGTCGGATAACCTCAGCCAGCATAAAAATGACGAGTACGTTCTCAATAAAAATGCGTTATGTTGCTCCCATTTGGTGGAATGCACTTATCACAACGTTTGTTCATGACGGTCATGGAGTAGACTATACATTCAATATTTGCTAGTGACTGATTCGTCGATTACGGTCGCCCAGTTAGTAGACAGGATTCCTACTCCTAAACCCGTTTCTGCTTATCGATCCAATCCTGTCGTCCTTTACTTTGTGATCGATATAAACAAATAATTTCTGTTTTATGTAGTTCCCCATATTTCCAATGAATTTAGTACTGGCTGTTTAAACATGTATTGCTGAAGTTTCGACCAACTATCAATGTCGTCATACGTCTAATTGATCAAGTCACCTTTATCATCCTCATCACTACTACACGTAGCTCACCAATTCATAAACGTCTTTGAATGTAGTGTTTATCACTTAGAAGTCCTTTTTGTTATTATTCTCACTAGATACTTGATATTTTTACGAAGCCATTTCTACACAGGTTTTTTTCATAGTGGTCAAGTTGTGACTGGTTAATAAGAGTGGTTAGTATTCGGATTTCTACACGTAAACTAGCATTTCGGTAGCCCCTGTATTGTCATTCAGTCTTACTAAGACACATCAACACAAGGAAATGGGATCGACGCAATGGATAAGAAAAGAGTTGAAATAGTAGTAATGTCAATGATAGCGTGAAAACCTAAACACTGTACAATGCATTGTGGAAAGAAGACGAATGTGGGTAATGGCTTGTGTGAAGTAACTGTTGGGCTTATGTTTTAAAAGAAAATAAACAATGGTTTAGACATTGGTGAGCAAAACATCATGCATGGACCCCAGCCTGGTCTACATCTGCTTGGGGAGGCGTATATGAAATGCGCATTTAATTTTCAGTTGAGCAAGCGTCACTTCAGTAACCCGTGTACCAATCAAGGCTTCTGAAATTGCAGAACCAAACTAAGCTTATTGACCCAGCAACGAAATAATCTATGGGGTTGTTCAAAGTAGGTGTCGGTACGATTCAGAGTATGAAGTAGTGGAAATCCTTTCTTGACCAGTGGGCACCCAATGGTATTTCATAAGGCAACAACTTATGACCAAAAACGGACAAGTTTACATTTTCTGTTGTGTCTACATATCAACACCTAAATATTCTGTTGTAGTGGTAACTTTGTTGAGTTCACATATAACTTTCGAATACCTTTTGCTTGTGGTTACATTGAATAGTATAGCTAGCGTTAATAAGATCGTTGCACACCTGTTTATCATCACAAAGATACGATGTTTAGAAGTGCGAATCAACTTTTACATATATCAAAATTTAGTCACATTATGTGAGACGGAAGTTCCCGTTCGAAATTAGCAGCTACAATTTCACAAATTACTCACTTAAGTGTTCCAGTCTATTTAATTTGTCTGTAAATATTGTATAATTGGGTTCTTATTCTATTGGTATTTTGTTCTGGAGATAAGGGCGCTTGTAATTTTACAATTAATTAATAATTATAATTTGTACATTTACTACAAATGACTGTAAAAGTAGTTTAAAATAACATGCCCTATCAAAGACATATCAGCAGAAACAGTCGCATCAGTATTTCCTGGTCTTTTTGTCGTCCCATCAATTGTTACTACAAACCGTGGTTCCATGGTTCAATCCGTTTTATTTCAGGATTTTGCCAAACTTCTGAGAGTGAATCACATCCAAAAAAAGCTTATCACTCAGTAGCGAATGGCCTGGTTCAGAGATTTCACCGTCGACTGAAAAGATAACTGATCTCACAAGCTGATACATCGAAGTGTAGCGACGCACTACCACTTGTACCACATGGGATTCGTTCAACTATCAAAGAAAATATCGGTTTCACATCAGCCGAATTAATCTATGGTACAACCCCAACGTTGCCAGGACAATTAGTCAACCAGGACACAAATGACCCTACTCGCTTCGCGAGCCGTCTATTGCAAACAATGCAGAATGTTGAAGCAATACTCCCCCCGTAAGCATAACAGTCTCATGCAGCTTTAAAAACGCCTGAAAACATGTAACTCCGTCTTTGTTCGAGTCGTAGTTAAAACAGCCATACGAAGGACCTTATCAGAAAAAAAATCGGACAACCATACACTTCCTTATTAGCAGGAATGGAAAAAAGGAAACTATCTCTATAGATAGAATTAAACCTGCTTTCCACGAAGACCAGCAAGACAAAGGACATGCTACAACAGCTACAGGACTTCTACCATTAATTACTACGAAATCAGAGCAAGATGAAAAACTAAATAGCAATTCTACATTCTCAACACGCTCAGGCAAAACTGTATAGAAACCTATGCGTTACGCACATTTACGAAATAAAATAAATGAACTACTAAATCCATCTGGTTTTCTGTCGAAAACTATTTTTTTTCCACACAATATGTACACAATTAGTTTTATTTTCCGCGGTTACTCGTTTTATATCTTCTGAAAAATCAACAAAGCAATCTTGTCATTCACCAGATTTTGAACCTCTCAATGCTGTCTTCAGAGTAATTCCTATTGAATTATCTTCCAACTGTCCAAGATCTTACTTCATCTCGACGCCAGTATGATAATTAGGATTATTCGAGTCATTGAATTAACTAAGAATTTCAGAAATAGTGCAATTTAAGACAGGTAAAACTAAGTGAGCATAAATAAACCATAGGTCATCCACCAGCATTCTCCATTCAACTCTATCCTAGTCATTCGTTTCCAGTAGCTGTTCATCGTTTTGATGACTGCATCCAACTCTCGACGCAGTGTGTTCTTTGGCCTTCGTTTCCCTTCTGGATTCTAAGTTAGATTTTGGCCCGTGATGCAGTTTGGTGATTTTCTCAATATATGTCCTATCCATCCCCAATGTCTTTCCTAATTTCGTCTACAACTGGAAGCTGGCTTTCTCTGCCCTACCGTAGGCTGTTGCTGATGGCATCCGATCAACTGACATTGAGTATCCTGTGTAAACATTTATTTATAAATACTTGTACCTGGTTGTAGTAGTTTTCGAAGTTTCATCCCCGTACAGTAGAACTGTTTTGAAGTTCTTATCGAAGATTATGAGTTTGATGTTTGTTGACAGTCGATTTGAGTTCAAATGTGGGAATGCCGACCTTGCATTGCTAATCCTTGCATTTACATCTTCATCGATGATGCCGTCCAGGTACGTGAGAGTTTCCATCACCTTCGGAGTCTCTCGGTCGGGTGTGATTGCGTTGATGTTCTCCATGTTGTATTTTAGGATCTTAGAATTTTTGTGTATGCTGTGGCATACTTATGAAGTGGCGTCTGCTACTTAAGCTGTCTTTGCATGAATTTGTTGGCGTGTATGGGATAGAAGAGCTAGATCACCTGAAAAGTCCAAATCGTCTAGCTGAATCCAAGCTGTCCATTGTATTTCGTGCATCCTTCGAGATGTGAAGGTCTTCGCAATCTATTCAACCACCAGAAGGAAGAGAAATAGGGAGAGTAAATAGCCATGTCTGATATCGGTCCTCACTTGGATTACGTCTGTCAACTGTCTTCTATGAACGTCTTTAAAGTGTGGTCCGTCGTCTGAATTCATATGATGTTGACAATCTTATCAGGTGCATCATAGTTGTAAGGTCCATCTTGAATATCTTGTGTGTGAGAATCTCTCCATGTATACACTTTCAGTTTGCTCCCATTGATTCTCTTAGTTGTATACTGTTAGTCTTTTCGATTCCATTTGAATTGTTAATATTTGCATTTTATTATAGTTTTTATTATTCTTGTGCCATGTTTCTTCTTGAACTGCATTTATGTTGTTTTACTTGATAATTAGTCTTGGCGGCAGCTATATTGGTTTCTCACTCCTGTTGATTGTTTTGCTTGTATTGACCGAAATTTTGCATTTTTGATTTTGAATTGAGGCACTCTTCCAGAATTGGAAACATTCTATGTTATAAAGCAATCAAATATTATCTTTCGAATAAATCTGTGCATGGTTTATCCAGACAGCATAGAATAGTATTTATTTGTTGCGATTGGTAATTTTCTCGCATCCTTTATCAACTTCCTTATTTATTGTAATTTAGATTTGATTAATTGGACAATTATTGTTTGAATAGCTGAGTAGTCATACTCGTTTAGGTAACAATGTACATTTAAATCTATGATGAATTTTAAAACTGTCTTTTTGCCAGTTACTTTGTCTTGATGTCAACCGGGCGAGGACGCGTATCTAGTCTACCTACACAGCTAATCATCAGTCCAAACCTTAGTTTGAATCTTACAATAGTATCGATTAGCGTTCCGCAATATTCCCCCATCAAGGCTGTCAAAACGCCTTCTCCTAGTCAAAGAAGTTAATCTTTAGTGACATGTTACATTCAGTTGACTTTTCAACGATCTGTTGTGTTGCGATGCGGTCTGTGTACGACGGATATCCATGTTATCCGGTCTGTTGATGGCGAAATTTTTCATCCGGTTCGGCAACACACTGTTTCTCCCATAGCTGAGTTCCCAAACTTTTTCAGATCCTCCTTTGGTGTCTTAATGATGTATTCTTCTCTCCAGTTTGTCTGTGACACTTGATGCCCTTCCCAAATCTTTCTTGATGAAACATGGAACATAACTGCAGTTGCTTCTATGTTTGAGTTCAATGATTCAGTTGGTATGTTGTCAGGCCCTATTGCTTTCACACTCTTGATTTGTCTGGTGGCCATCCTGATTTTTTCGATGTTTGGGGGAGTGACATCTATAGGGAGGTCTGTAGGTGCCGCCAGTGGTTTCAACTGAGTTGACGATGGTGTTGTATGTTGGATTTATGAGAACTGTGTGCTATATGCATGCAAATCCGCCACGTTATTGTTTTTGTTCCAAGTTCATATGTGACTAAACACAAATATTCAAAAGACAGTAAGATTATTTATATTTAATATCACCGTCTTTAACCGGTTACTGTCCTTTAGTTACTACTACAACAGTTGCCTCACAATTTACGAAGGATTCAAGGTTTACAGATATGAAACCAAAGAAAAGCAATCATCAATTCAGTAATCCGTATCCAACTCACTTGACATGGCTGAACTGGAGAGCTATGTAGAGAATAAAATCCAAAGGAATATTGTTTCAAAATATGATGCCAATTATCCACCCCTATTTTAATGGACCAAAAATACACTTAAGCTCAAAATTGTGCTGATGAAAGAATCATTTCAGCTTAGAATACCGTGAAACACTTATGAAAATACACTCACAGAGGTTTTATGAGCTCTGAAATTCCCCATCTGGAATGACAGAAATATGATATTTTGCTGAATGTTCAGATATCAAAGTCATCATACACTTTAGTTTCAATGAAAAAAAACAAAAATATTTTGTATCCTCCAGCAGTCATTCCAGTCAACAAATGCTGACCTCCATTACTTTCAGAAAGAAGCTTCGACAAAAATTATAGGTCTTTTAAATGAAACATGTTTCTTAAAATTGTATGCTTACTCTTATCATTAGACAATTCGCAGATTATTTACAGTAGCTTCTGAGCTAACTAATATACAAAATTTGTCTCCAGTACATACCAACTTGAGCATGCTTGTTGAAATTCTTTAAAACAATTCAATTGAACCGCCGGACTAATCTTAGTGGGTGCTGCAAGATATCTGGAGCCTTTCAATGAGTTCATGATGCAGCATTAAGTTAATCAATAGATTTATAACAAGTATTTTATATCTTATATAACCAAGTGGCTGTTTCTGATATCTTAGTCTTTGCTGACGATTTTAATTTATTAATGAAGTTAAACTGCGGCGTTCGAGCAATTTTCCAGTTGACATTGGCATTTAATTAAAGAACTTTATGTTCAATGGTTTACGTGTTCGAAACAATCAACGGATCTAAAGAGAGTTCAGTGCATAAAGGTCACAATCAATGAGGTACTGTGGTTTTATGAATCCCAAGTGTGTTTACTCCAAGATTTTTCTCACCAAAACGTAAAAACGTGCATATAGAATGCGTAGGGTTATCGGTTTTCCAAATTTCGATGTATTTAGATGGGAATCGGGGGCCGAACTCCGTCATAATGAAGTACCAGATTTTTACATATACTGAACTGACTATAATTCTTATTTATTAGATGAAGAAGGCCCCTCAGTCAAATTACATTTCCATAAATAGCTCACAAATATTGGTTCTCGTTAAAAAACAAAGTGACTGCCTACTTAAGCAGTGATGTAATATAATTATATTTATATGGCTTCATGTTTACATGAAGCTATCTTTTGTGGCTTATGAATTTACAAAGGTACATATCCTTTGTTTGAGTTGTAAGTGGTATTTTATTTACAAAAACTTATGAGAGTACCGCAAGTTCTACAGTTCAGTAATATCGACGCCATACGACTCATTATATCGCTGCCTTAATGATGTCATCTGCCTCGTTGGTATGCTGTTGAACAACAGTGTTATAACACGCATATTTATGCCAGTTTTAGTCTGTATATATTACAAGTGGCTTAATAGTAGGCGTTCTCTCAATATTGGTAGTTACCATTTCACTGATTTTTTGTACCCAGACATTGAAGTAGATGACGTGAAACTAACTAGGTTTACAGAAATGTTCCGTACTCGTTTTATTATTATTGCTCACTAGTCTCACAAGAACTAACCATTTTCTTAGACCTATATACTTGACTGGTTTCATTGCGTAATCGGTTATATTTGTTGCCCAATATCAGCAGTTGGCTTTAGCATGAGACGTCAAAGCAGGACGACAATTTCTGGACAAATTATTCAGATTTCATCTCACAATTTTTGCTTTTTTGCGTGAAATTCACTCATCCATACAGCTAAATCATATTCAGATATCGAAGCTGATATCAGTTTGTTATGAGAACCCTAATTCTAATTCGTAATTTCAACTCCTAACTCCAAGTTGTAGTCCCGATTCCTCACACAAATATATCACCCTATATCACCCCTAGTAAATGGCTAACGTTTCCTTAGAACACTTTTATATTACTCAGAGGTAGTCCATAAATTATAGTCTCCCTGTTGAGTGCTCAATCACATCCATAAATACTGTTCAGTATGCCCCAAAAAGCTGTTACATTGTTCATTTATATAATTATAAGTAAAATCCAATAGTAATGTGTTGGTTGTGTACACTATTCTAATGGTCTAGGTAGATCTCAGCGTATTTTAAAGATGTACTAGTTATACGTTGCATTCAGTTAATGGCTTGTAGAAATCTATTATTTACACCCTCCTTGAGTGTAATCAATAGATCTCATAAACCCGGACATTAGGCAAGAATCTCAAAATGAACTAACTAATCAAAATATACACAATAAACTAGCTAAGGAAATATAATAAACCGAAGCAAAGTGCAAATCAGTAGATATTATTGTTTGCCGTCCTTCAATTTAGCCTAAGTAGATGGCTAACATAGTGTTCCAATCGTCGACTGGTTTGTTCGCGTAAAGTCACCTATTTTTATACTCAAATAATTTAAAATTACTGATGTTTTATCATATCACCTTTACAGTGCAGTGAGTCATCGGCGTGTCACCCCGTCATTCGGCACGAATACTAACTTTTGCGAGGCGCAATATATCAAACCAAAGTAGCCAATCATTTGATTAGGCCTCATCGCATATTTGGCTAATATCATTTGACGTTTACAACTATCGACGTGTACTGCATAGGTCTGTGGTTTCTTCCAGTTCGTCGACTTTATTTGATGTAAAAGTAAGTTGTGTCTGTCAACTAAAATATAATACACTTTGCGTATTTTGTCCGTCTTCGCTCTTTATATTGACAAACCTTGAGTTAATAGAACGAGGGATTATTATTGGTAAAATTAGCTCTCATGACGTTAGAAACTTCCAGTTTTGTCACAGTAACAGAATCCAACCAAGAAAAATAGAACGGGACTCCCACGATATCTGAGTTGTAGCATTTTATACTTTTTGTACTAGATAAGAAATTGGGCTTCTCTGATCCTCTTAAGTTGATGACTGTTAAAGCAAAGTAATGTTAGTATTGTGATATTCTTCAGAAATGGATACCTCATATAATTGATTCTGTAATGATTTCTGACAGTAAGACAATATGTAGACCATTGTTAGACATAATTCGATGCAAGTTAACTCAACAACTCTTACATTGAGTGGATCACCCGTATGATTGATAAAAGACGAGTGACATAATGAATGATGGTAAACAGTTACGTTGACTAAGTTACTAGCTTATGAGAGATGATCACTCTAAGACAAATGTATTCAACCATTGTAAATGTGTTTTTGACTCCGTAAAAAGACTACTTTAATGTTTAGTGTGCATTTCCCTATATATTTGTTTGTATTTAAACAGACAAGTTGGTTATTCAACATTTTACCATAACTATCTGTGTTAGATGTATTTAATTGAAGAGCTAGGAAAAGTTTGATATATAGCTTACTAATAGTTCAATTTAGGATATCGAATTTTATACTTGGAGATGTTGATTACATACCACTCACTGTAGTTTGGTAGATAAATTACTTGATGAATTACTTTGCCACACTTCTGTATCTTCTAGGTTAAATAACTATTCAGTCATGTCAGTTTATCCACCAGTTACCGAACAGAGCACCATTGTCAGAATGCCACGACTTTCAAACGCTGACACTCGTCATGGTAGTTTCCAGCCGTATCCCAGAGGTTCAAAACTCTCACGTCAGTTACAACAGCCTCACGTCACACTGGTTGAATATAAAACAGCTCGTTTTCTAATCACAGATGAACCTAATGCACACAATATGGAAAATTTTATCATGGTACGTTGTATTTCTATGCATCAAGTAGATTTGCATCATTATATTTAAAAAAATCTAGTGTTCGTTTTTCTGACGAATTGAACTCAGTGTAAAATCTAAATCACATTGCTCAAATACACTAAAATGGATAGCTGTTGAATTGTGTATGTGAAGTCTGATAATCAATTGAAATTTACAGCTTCTTGTTAGATAAGTTCTTGCTTCCTGGATTCTTATGTTATCACTACATACAATAACCAAGCCAATATTCATCTGAATTAAGTTTCTCTTTTTGTTAGACTCAATGTGTTATCGAGTTATCAGCAGTGTTTTGTTGATCACACAGGGGGAATATATTATTTTGAATTCTTAATGTACCACAATATCCTCAATCCAGTGATTTATTTTACTTTGGGTGACTGAACGTCTTTCAGTGTCTTTTAATATAATTTGAAGGCTAACATCTTACGAGATAATAACACATATAGTGCAACAAGATAGTATTTGTTTTACTATCATATTTGGGACACTTAATCAATATATTCAGTAATCCTATTTACAGTTAAAAGATCCTAATCCCGTTTGTATACAGGCGTAAAATTTCCTTTTGGAATGGAACAAAGTACACTGACCTCACTGGTTTTAATGTAGAAATATTAGTAACATCATTGAGATGCTGGGTTTTTTTGCCTTATGTGGTCACGCAAGCAGTGAAAGAAGAATGCAATTATATCAGATGTTTATTCAAGCGTTAATAAATCTTAGACGCTAAGCGTATGTTTTTAGATAGAAGCCTATCTGAAGTAGAATGCCTCAATGGTAGCTTTATTTGTAACATGACAACCTCAGGAGAAATCCTTACATTTTCCAATATAGATATTGGATTGATTTAACAAGTTCAGAGACTCATGATTCGACTTTATTCGTCGTTGTTATCCTCAAATGTTTTGTATTTACAACATATGGTGGGGGGGGGCCACAATAGCTTAGCAAATATACTGACATTAGCCCTTTACCCAGGAGTTTTACGTATAGTGTAACTTAGTGTTTTTAAAAAAAACTATTTCTAATCAATAAGTCGTAGATCCGAACCCTACTCCACCTATTTCAGTTTGCTTATTTGCATAAAATCACTAGTCCTTGCATCTTAAGGTAAAACTTAAAATTTATTTATTTTTTTATTTCAACACACAGATATTGGTACAAGGAGGCACACAAGTCTCATTCGATATGTGTGAGAGCTGTAATACTGCTCGGGTGCCCAAACCGAAGCAGGTGGTTTTCTTAGGGGGCCACACCCCAAGCCTTTGACCTAAAGGTCTGACCCACAAGGCAGTAGAACATCGTAAAGAGATGCAGTCCCATGGAAACCGGTAACCAACGATTGGTTCCCTCAGGATACTGGAGCCCATGTACATTATTGGTTTGGGATCCGGATAAAGCGCCGGACATTCGGTTTTCGTCCTCTCATTTTCATAAACAACACCCCGGTGGTGAGAGAAGGCAGTGAGCTAGACTTCCCTGGCAGAGGCTATATACGCGTGGCTATGTGAGAGCATTTTGAGAGGGAGAGCGAACTCTCCCCACTCTCGGCCGTATCAGGGCATTCGGGGGCATCAAACTACATTTAATAATTGATAAACACAGAAATATAAATGATATGCTGTACATGAACTTCGAATTGTAACCGCTAAAAGAATGCATCACTTAATCTATTAAAGCATATAGATAGATTACATACAAATAAAATTCTTTCAATTGGTTACCTTTACGAATTTGAATATAACCAGAACAAACATACATACCGAGTAATATGAATTCATCATACTTTTACATGGTTTCTCATCAGCTACTTACAACTATTGATATGTATTGAAAGTTTACATTGAGAGATAAGATATCGTGTGAAACAATTGACAATACATACATGGCTGTAAGCAGCTGCTGAGAAACCATAAATTCATATTATTCTGTATCCATGTTTGTGTTGACTTTATTCAAAATAAACTTCTATTTCTAGATGAAAGACAATCGATTAATTTGCTTGATTTAACTTTATTAGAATATTTCTATAAATCTTTTAATTTTGTTTTCTCTTTTTTCTTTCTTTCTTAATCTCAATTTACGCTTTAACATCCCAATAATTCTTAACTCTCTGGATGAAATTAGGTCAAGCATTCATTAGAATAGAATAAAAATAAAACTTAAATTATTGATTGGGAATGAAAACTGCCAATTATGTATTTTATATCTATCAAATAATTGCTTTAGAGTTAAGGTTTTGTGTATGGTTTCATATTCTGTATGGCAACTTGGACCGATGCATATATAAATGCCTGGTCCTACGTTGTAGCTGAATGACTGACTGACTTTCATGTTCTGTAAAGATTGGGAAATCAAAGATTTATTTAGAGTTTGTTGAATAATTTGATGAAACAATTCTTTCATCTAATTATCGGTTCGAAAATTAGTATGTTTTTATTATTATTCAATAGTTTATTAATCTGGGCATTATCGACATTAATCCCAATGGTCCATATAATGATTCCGCTTTCACTAGGCGAGTTCAAAAAGCTATATATTATTACTAATTTTCATGAACTAAATAAGTATACTTATTTTGGTGGAGTTTTGTTCTCTGGGCTGGATGGTTTGGTCGTGGAGCTTTCATCGTTCTTCTGAACGACATCATCAGCACAAACTTCAGATAGAAGTGAAGTGTTCGAATTTCTCCATATGTGTTTCACAGCTTGTTCTGTGCACCACGATGTTGATTGGTTGTTATTGACCTTAAATTTATCATTGTTTACTTCTTTGTTTTGGTTGTGTCTCCCATTGATTTGATTTTTGTTCCTATATTTATGCATGATTTTCCTGATCGGTTGGTAAATTGGATTGATTTCAATATGCTTGTTGATTGCTGATTGACCTGAGTGCCAAGCTTCTAAAAATCCTCTGGTGTTTTTGGAGTTTCCTCTGTCTAAGATTTCCACATTTCTCCAATCGAATAAGTGTCCGCAGTTATCCACGTGTATTGATTTAAGTGAGGAAATATCATGGCGTTTGACTGCTAATTGGTGTTCGTGTAGGCGAAGGTGCAGGGGGCGTCCGCTTTGTCCGATGTAGTGTTTTTCGCAGTTGGCACAATTTATTTTGTAGATGATGTTTGATTTGTTTTCTTTTGTTATTTCATCCTTTGGTTTGCATAGGATTGATTGTAGTGATTTTGTCGGTTCGTGTGACACACCTATCCCGAAGGTTTTCAGCAGTCTCGTTGCGGTTTCTGATATTCCTTGTATATATGGTAGGGTGATCCTTTTGTTGATTTCTCTGCTTGACTTGGGTTCAGATGCTGTGTGTGGTTGGTATTTTTTGATGAAGTTGATGGGGTAGCCGTTCTTTTGAAATATGTCCTTCAGGTATTTCTCTTCATTTTTTCGTGCTGCCAGTGTGCTGCAGTGTGTCCTCGCCCTCTTGAACAAAGTGTGTACGCAGTTGATTTTGTGACCTTCTGGGTTGTTGCTATTGTACTTGAGGATTTGATCTGTATGGGTCGGTTTCCTATATACTTGAATTTTCAGTTTTCCTGTGTCGGTTTTAGTGATCAATATATCCAAGAATGATAGTTTATTGTTTGACTCCTGTTCCATCGTGAACTTGATGTCGTCGAAAACGTTGTTGATCAGTTTGTAAGTGTTTTCCAGCTCATTCTTTTTGACGATGACAAAAAGTGTCGTCTACATAGCGAATCCAAATTTTTGGCTTGATCACTGGTAGTATCGCGGCTTATAGTCTTTGCTCCATGACCAAACCATCCAGCTCAGAGAACAAAACTCCACCAAAATCATCCGCCTGAGGTACAAATCTCCACCATCTCAAGTATACTTATGCATAATTGTTAATTCATTTCAAGAACATATTTTTTTATAACGATTTTCATTCAGGTTTTCAAACTACACAATGTACGCAAATTGGTTCGAGTATGCAAAGCTACCTATGATAAAGAACCGCTTGAATCTGTTGGAATTGAAGTTGTGGTAAATTTCATTGTTTATCATAGTTATTATGATATAATAAAAACTTTCTAATGATGTGTATACTCTTACTCTTCCTACCACTACGGGATTTGAATCGACAATTGTATCTCTGTGCTAATGTGGTATGGCAACTCGAACTGGTATATGTACGTACGAAGTTCTACGTTGTTACAGATTGAGTGAAGACCACATATCAATCAGTCATGATCAGTATGAGAACCAGGTATATATGTGAGCGTTGGCTCAAGTTCCTATAACTCATTGGCACAATAAGATGAATATTAAAAAAAACGAATCGCAGTAGTGCAACAGTTGTGATGATGAATATTGAGACGACAAATTTGAAAAGCATGTTTGAGAGAGTGCTGGAACTGAAAATCTGGAAGAGGATACGGAATGAATGGATTTGGGCCATTGTAACTGATTCTAGATCATATCACTCAATTTCTTCTAATCATTAGTCAAATTTATTACACAGACCTCAAGCAGTTGGTTTGAATCTACCAATTTAGCTCTGACCACATATGTCATTATATTTCAGAAATGTTCAGAGATCTCTTTGTCGTTCTGTTTCTCATCTTCAATTCTTATTTATTTATTTATTGATAGATTAAGAGTTTTATCGAATGATATATGAAGATCTAAGTCCCCAGTAGACTGAATTTAAACTGGTTACTGTATTCACATATTTTGCAAATCAATTAAACTAGATATAAATGATACAGAGTTAAGTCGAATGAATTTGTTGATCTTATTTTATCATAAAAATTAAATATTAACTTTTTCTCATTGATATCATGAATCAGTCTAATTTAGACCACCATTGAAAACCTGGAAGCATCAGATGGTCGTTTCGTCCTAGTATGGGACTCCTCAGTGAAGATGGGCTTACACGACCACACATGCAGGAGTCGGACCTAGAATGATCGGTGTTGCGTGCGAAAGCTTAAACTTATGACCAATGACCATGCACTCAGTAGTGTACAAGTCTAGAGGTTAAACGTTCGCGCGCAAGGCTGGTCATGGGTTTTATTACTGCTTACGCGCTGTTGAGGAGTCCCATGCCAGGACGAAACGGCTGTCTAGTGCTTTTAAGATTTGAATGATTGTCTAAGTTTGATCGGTTCGCGGTCTCAATGAAATTCAACAATCTCGATAACCTCATGCTGATATTATTGTTTAGTGTTTCTAACCATAGCTTCTACCTTGATATAATGGTCAGATTTACTTATCGCGACGACCCTATCGAGTTATAATGAATTTTATGCTCTGTAAATCAGTTGATCAGAACAAACACAAGCAGATTGTACATCTGAATCATAGGTCATTCTGTTATAGTGGTATCTGATTTACCACCAAGAACTGACATCTCTTCTAATACTGGATTTCCGCAAAAATATTAGGGAACTAATCTTTTAAATGTATTCACTGTGTATTGAATTCTTAACATAATTAGTTTGTGTTGACTGAATAATAATTCTTAGATGATTCGGGCAACGTATTTATGTGTAAGGGAATGAAGTATTAATTTAATCATAAATTGACTTAATCTTTTCAATATTTTACAGGATCTTGAATACGATGATGGTGCACCGCCTCCAGACGTAGTAATTGAAAAATGGTTTCAACTGATTACAGATGTATGTCAACAAGGACCTGGAAGTTGTATAGCTGTACACTGCAAAGCTGGACTTGGCAGGTTAGATTTAGAAAATTTTATAATAATATACTTCTGTTATTAAAATTTTTATATCACAGTGACCACAATAAATTCCAAGCTGTTAATAAAGACAATATGAACGACATCGATTGTATCGACTTAATTTACACTAGTTTTCCGTTCCAATTGTAATTATGATATGCCGTAAAACTTAACACACAAAGAGTCAGCGACATCTGTTTTTGCGTGTTATGAACTTTTTTTCCACTTCATGGAAATATTTCTTGAATAAACAAATTTCACAACCGTTGAGGAAAGTTTTCTGCTCATTTAAACTTCGTATTATCTTCTCAAGCAAGCTAGTTTACTATTCGTGAATGTGTTAAGGATGAATTGTCAGTTTGGGCCACATTGATGTGTATTTATATGTTTGTTTGCACATACAGGTCAGGCTATATTGACCACACATAACCAACATTTTCCAAACACATTTCAGAACGTTACAAGGCATGGAGTTTTAAAGGGGAATGCAAAGCAACCACTAGATAAATACAGCAGCACCTCATCAACTCTGGGAACGTTGCTCCAAAGGAATCGTCCTTTAAAATAATCTACACAGTTAAAAAATGTGTCAAGGAGAGGTCAAAGAAAAAAAACTTATACAATACTGGGGTATTAGTGGTTCATCAATTCAAGCTTGAACTCTGGGTGCAAATTCTCATCATTACATAGACCCAACACCTTTCTCCAGCATGTTTTGGTTTTGTTTTTTAAGTTCCACCTGGAGCCCCTCTAGAATTTCTGCTGATCCCAAGCCTGGGTAAAAGAAGCTGGTTGAACTTGTAGTTAGCAACCTCATCTCGTAAAAAAAATCTTGTTAAGAAAACTGTAAACTTGTAAATCTTCGCTTTACTTACACTTTATGCCTCTCGTGGAGCATATGCCGCTGACCTAACAATTTCCATGACTATTATTCAATTGTTATGACTCACACGTTTTTCATTTCCTCTTCATATCTGTTCAATAAACAGTTACCGCTCTCATTCCTCTCGAACCACACGATCACCACTACCCAATCTTCTTTCGTTATTTAAAATCTTGACTCACTTTATCATATAATTCTATTTCTATTCTCTTATAGACTACTATATGTATTTATCAAGTTACTGTAATAACAAATGTACAACTTAAGTAAATCATTTCATTGAAAACTATAATAATTTCAAGTAAAATTCTTTAAATTTTAATCTATTCAATTTTATAATTTTTCATTTAGAGCTCCTGCTCTTGTTGCAGCCGCTTTAATTGAACTTGGTTTACCGTACAATGAAGCTGTAGAAATGATTCGTGGGTAAGTGAATAATAAGACTAGAATTAATGGATGAATTCATTAGATTTAAAATATGAAATTTGTTCATTTATATGACAAAAAAAAGAACACAAATTTTTTGTAGTTGTTGTTGTTGCCATTTATAGCTGATGTTAGTTCGTGATGATGATGATAACAACTCAAATCTTTAACTCTGCAGATCGTGAATTTCGATTTCCTACACTAATTGATAACTTTCTTCTATTCTTAGCTAAAACGCAGGACTGGGTACATATATGCATCAGTCTAAGTTGCCATACCTCATTAGTACAACAAGATAAACACCAAACTCATAGAAGTAGTTACTTTAATGGTAGTACAGGGAGAAAAAAAATAGTTCATAGGAAGAACGGTATAAAACAATTTTAATCTCATAGTTTAAGGGAAGATAAAATGTATACACCGACGCCATTGTGATTGATTCTGAGCCATTTCACCCATAGTCTCTAACCATTTGTTACAATAGTCACACTGACCCCAACGAAGTAGTATGCATCTACCAACATGACTTGAAGGACCGATGCCAATTTTTGGTTTGACCGCCCCCCTCACTTCCTTCCAACCGTTTCCAACATTAGGCAGCATTGCGCGTCATGGTAAACGACCGTCTTTAGACTCTATTGTGTTGGTGAATTTGTTTTAATGATCATTTTAGCATTACTTAAAGGTTGTCTATAATTTAGAATTTCATCAATTCATAAATCTAACATTGTTTTGATTTGTATACAGAATAGATCTACAAATGAACTCATATAAATTTGATTATAAATAAGAATAATTAATGTAGTAGAATACCATGAATTTATTGCTATTTTACCGGTTTTCATCAGCTGCTTACAACCCTCTAAAGAAGAAAAAGTAGTCTACATACTTTATGTATTATAATAATGGAAGTATTCTCATTAATGAAGGTCAATGAAAAGAGTACTAATTAGTGTAGAAGAAGGAAGGATATGAGGTGTTCGTATCTTAATCGATGTGAATATTGATAAGTTAGATATAAGAATATTCTAGAATAAATAACTAAGAGTATAGGAACAGAGTTATTCAGAAATAATATATGAATGTTATATTTATGTAACTTAAAATAAACGAATTAAATACAGAACATATAAAAGGTGAGAGGTTAAGCGCTCGCACGCGAGACTGATAGGTCTTGGGTTTGAATCTCGTGAGGTGGGATCGTGGATACGCACTGCTGAGAAGTCCCACAGTAGGATGAAACGACTGTCCAGTGCTTCCAGGTTTTCCATGGTAGCCTAGTTTTAATTGACTCATGATCTCAACTATTAAAATTACTATAATATCTACAAAAACCCCATCTGATATTAATTAATAATTGGTGTCATGAAAAGAATTTTATAACAAATATTTATGAATAAGTTCACCAATGCAAACCAATATTAACAACTGAATCTTTCTGGATATATAAATTTGGTTTCAGTCATTTTATACCTTTTGCTTCAGTAAAACTTAGTAAATTTGACGTTCTTTGCCTATTAATTATCTTGAAGGACTTTGATGAATCAATGTCATTGTTAAGCAGACGGCAAGCAATAACACTATTGAGAATGTATTACCCTCTTAGTCTAAACTTCCGTGAATTTGGTGATCTCTAATGGAATTTAAGGTTTCCGACTCTGTAGAAGGATCTCTACAATTTTTTTTCCAGGATCACTATTGCAGGATTCCTTCAAAACGACACTGATCAGTGTCGTCTACATGCATGTCTTTGCAAGTTGATGGCTAGAGATAGACGACAAGGTTAGGATACTGCCCGAGTGCTCGAACCAAAGCCGGTGGTTTTCATAGGGGGCCACCTCCGAACCTTTGACACAGAGTTCTAATCCACAAGACAGTGGAGCAACGTTATGAGATGCAGTCCCTTGGTAGCCGTTGAACAACAACAGGTTTATATTTCATTTGTTCCCTCAGGATCTTGGAGCCCATGTAAACCATTGGTTTGGGATGAGCATTTTCCAACTCCCTCAGATAAATCCTCCATATTCACCAGCCTGGTTAAAGCGCCAGACATTTGATTTTCGTCCTCTCCATTTCGTATACAACACTCCCGTGTTGAGAGGAGGCAGTGGGTAGGACTTCTCTGACAATGGCTATATACGCGTGGCCATGTGAGAGCATTTGGACAGAGAGAGAGAGCCGACTCTCCCCACTCTCGGCCGTACCAGGTCATTTGAAAGCAGTTTCTAAATTATCTTATCAATGTTCGTTTATTCCGCTAATCCATATTTTCTTCTCAAGTCGTATCCTCGATGCCTAATCTTTTCTATTTCTACTACCCTGGATATTACCTTAACCATTCCATCTCGTTGTACTAACAGTGTGTAATCACTTAAACCAATACACATATATGCTGGGTTCTATGTTATAATGTATCAACTAGTATTCATCTTAATCTTGAAAGTTTCTTACTGACTATTTCCATATACTTTTTTAAAAAAATTATTATTTTAGACAAAGAAATGGAGCATTAAATGCTCGTCAAGTTCAATATTTAAAAAATTTCCATCCAAAAAAACGTCTTCGTCATATCAAATCACAATCGGATCGATGTGAATTATTATAGAATAAAATGTCATTGTTAAATAACAGATATTTAACTTTATTATTATTATTACCATTATTATTTATTATCATCATCATTAATATTGTTGTACATGTATTCTCCCGATGTTGACATTATTTCATCCATCCAGCCATCCCCCTTCGGCCATGACTTTACATTTTAATGTATCCTGTAAACTGTATCATTTTTATCTCGTTGCCTTCTTGTTTGTCATTTTCTTTCTTTCTGTACACTTTCATATTATTTCTCAAAGGATAATTTTTAAAATGAATAAAAAAATGAAGAGAATTTTTTTTCTTCTTTTTTTTTGTGGCAATTTAAGGTGTATAATCATGTTTATGATTGATTTATTTGCTAAGAAAATAGTAGTAGTAGTAGTGTAGCGAGCGAGAACAGAAATGCAGACAAAATTACAGAACATGACATCAGTGCTTGAAGATACTAACCTCTAGTCTGAGCCATGCCGGTAGATGCAGACTATTTGGTTGGGGTCCGTGTGACTATCGTAGCCAATGGTTGGAGACTCTTGGTGACATAATTGAGAATCGATCACAATGGTGTAGGTGTATACATTCTTTGTTTGCCCTTAAACTATGTGATTAAAATTGCTTTATATCTTTCTTCCTACCAAATAATTCTTTCTTCCTGTATTATATCCTTATACAAAATCTTTCTTTTATATATTACTACCATTGAAGTAACTACTTCTATGGATTTGGTGTTGATCTTGTTGTGCTAATGAGGTATAAGAGCTTGGACCGATGCATATATGTGCTTGATCCTACGTTGTAGCTGACTGACTGAGTGAAATCTGAGAATCATACAATAAATACTTCATTTGCAAAGTGTCAATCCGCTATCTCAAACCTCGTTGTACTTTCGTTTACACACCAATCATCCTGTGTTGTCGTTCTTTTCTTTTCGATTTTCTTAACCTTCTGCCTCCAGTCATTTCACTTTCGATTGATGAGACATACTACTTATTTATGTCTGTCAACATTAGTAGCGTACACCACCGTAGTAGTAATGATAATAATATCAGTCTGTAGTAAAATTGAATAGTGATAATTAATTTGCAAAACTCTGAAGTTGTATCGTACCATGAGCTGTATACAAAAGTCAAGTATTCAAAGAAATTTATATAAAAATCCAACGAATAGTGAGAGCTGTAAAGATAATTGTCTGTTTGATAAAATATTAAAAACAGAATAATGAAAAGTAGAGTTGAATGGTGACTAGTAATCTATGTCAAGTCTCGTGTTTCGTCTTATTTAAGACTCATCGGTTTAGTGTGCTTGAATTTTGAAGTTGATGTTTGCTCCAGGACTCAGACGTAGTACTGTTCTCTCTAAACAATTACCCAAGTATTGAGTCCAGATAGCCACTAGGTTGTGCAATTAAGTGAAGTTTACTTCACTTGTACTGGTTGTTTGAATATTCTCTTTGATATTTAGGACTACAATTGATCAGTCTCTTGTTGACATATGTGTATCCTGTGCGGATCGCCTTTATATTTCGAATGTCATAAACATTATAAACAGAAATTGATGACGACTAGACTGATCAATAGGAAGATTCAAAAGGATAATGAATAGTTATAAAAACTAATTGTAAAATAGTGGAAAAAACAGTAGATCATAGAAAATAGAAAGGAGGGTTAAGACCATGGAAACTGAGGGATTGAATGTACTGTTTCTCTACGCAGAGGTTTAGCTTGAATTGGTCCATAGCTATACCCTCTGCTGTACTTACTTAAGTAAGTAAGTATTCCTTTAGGACCGATTCTTTTGATTATGAATAGCTTTGAAGAATGATTCTGATAGAACAGATTAACCAGTACGAACTAGATAGGTCAGGGTAGAGCTTTTGACTGATTTTTGTACTCCTTAAATAGCCAGACAGGATAATGTTTGGAGGTGGGCTTTGAAAGAACTCGATTTATGTAGTCAATATAACCTGCTCCACATAATCATGTAAATGAATAGATGCTCAGTGAAGGCTTGGCTTTTACACAGCTATGCAGCGAATGTCCAAACAGACAATGTTCAGACGATTGGGATGCTTTTCTTAAAGATCTGAAAAGCCTGCTTATCATAATTCTTACCTCAGCAAAATGAAGAGAAAAGGAGTAGAGACAACAGAATTGTTAGTTTTAGTACCAATGACTAAATATAACAGGGAATTTCAAGATTTGTATTTGAAATTGGATAGTACGATAATATACTAGGTTGGATCAAATGATACAAAATATCAACTCGTGGTTGGGAACCAGATTATGAGACAGTAATCTTCTGTGAACCTGCACTCTTGCGACCGATTTTAAACCATGTTCCGCAAAATCGCCAACCGTTGATTATGTGCATATGTACTAACCACTTCGTTCGGTAGAGATCTACAGTCTCGTTTAATTATTTGTCATGTTTGTGTAGTACTACAATCCTAACCACATCATCAGTCACTCGGTTGTTTCAACATACACAGGTGGTGTTTCGAAAAGGCCTATGATCAGATAATGGTAACTTGGGAACTTCTAGTTCCAAAGACAGAGTTTTAGACTATTCACCTACCAATAGCATTGAGATCTATAAATCAGTGACATTCTACTGTCCCCATTTTACCTCCATGAAGTAGTTTTAGGACCTCGTGAAACGAAAATTACTTACATTCTCAAAGTTTTATTTGACCAACTTCTTATTTCTTTTATATACATGGACCTCAGCATTTGTGATTGACAATTGCCGTAATATTACGAAAGGTGATATTCTTTTCGATCACTACGGATTTCATGGTACTGACCAGCCTTTTCAATATTACTCTCATCCGTTTCTGATTTTGAATACACCAAATAAAAAGTATTTGAGTATGTGCAGTTATTTCATCTTTGCAAACATGTAATTGATTGTTATTTCGTGATAAGTCGACCATCCTCCTACTGCTGACTTATTACTAAAATACTGTCTTTCGTCACTTATATTAAACTGGTAATTGCTTTAAGACAAACCTTTGTTTACAGGACAGTTGGGAATTAGAACAGTGATCTAGTTCGCGTACCTCATTGTCTCTTTCTAATTTTCAGGTGACCAGGAAGTAAAGACCATCTTTGCATCTCTAAAAACACTTAAAAGCCTGTTGTTCACAATCGAATTCCCTCTTCATTTCCTGGTATCTCTACTATCAACTCCTCTTCTATGGTTTCTTCTTTGTCCCCACTAGCCATGTTGGAGCTTTCAATGTTCAAACCGTAAATCAAATCAAACAATAGACTTCATTAGATAGGAGTCTAGAATCTCGTACCACTGATATATACTGTGTCTCTAAATTTTGCATTTACGATGAAAGTGTAGTCAAGCAGTTAAACTCAGTTAACACGGATTACGAATACTTTTCATCCTCTGTGTATCTGCTACTTCTCTCAGCCTTGCTATCGTAGGTATAGTAATCAGTTGAAATGTGAAGCAGGTTCTCTGTGACTGAATTTCAGGAGATAGTCATCAGTGTACTATCCATTTCAGTGGGGTAGTAAGAACTCGGGAGGATAGTGATGCACACCGTTGTATTTTCCTCATTTTTGCTTACGATCCTACTGACTGACTGAAATTTGAGTGGAGAAAAGATGAGTTTCATGGGAAGTGCTCTACTTTCTATCAAAAGAATTATGGTGTGTTGTTCAGTCTTTAAAACTCATAGTTATAAGTATTTAATACAACACCATGATACATCAGATTAGCATTACATTTTAGTTTGTACAAAATGTTATGTTTGCTGTTTGATTAACACAGAATAGCGTATATCGCTACGGTACTCGAACATATGGAGCTCCGCAGTCACAAAGTCAGAAGACAGAAGGAAGCTGGAAAAGTGTTTGTTAGGTAAGAATCAGAATGTACAGAAAATCATGGGTATTTATAGATATTAGCGTTTGTTCTAATATCATTATAATTCAGCCAATCCGCAAACAGGCAAACTATGCTACTGTCCAATCATAGTATGCCACGTTGATATTCTAGAAAGCTCCATCACGTTCTGGTTGAATGGAAACTTTTCGTCTCCCTTAGGGCCTCCGGAGGCTCCGTCGTAATTCTCGGAAGCTGTCACAACACATAACTAGAATATGATAAGTTTCAGATATGGTAAAAATAAACAGTGTGATGATGAGAACTACCATGATAGTTTAAAGAAAAAATTAAAAAAAACTGAGTTAAACTTAAGCTGACGGTTGATTAAGTAGAGTTAGTGAACATAAATGACTTATCTCTGTTCGATGAGACAATAATTTATGAACGACCTTTGGGCGACGCTAAAATGACACTGCGTCGATCTACTTACTAGAGCTAAATGAGGGTTATAAAACAGTTTGAAGGATAAGGGTTATGATTTACATTTGATGGTTAGGGTTAGGAATTAGATCTAGGGTTTTCATCACCGACTGACATCAGTTATAAGTGGATTTCGTGCCAAAATCTAAGACCTATTGTCGTAAATCTGATTGGTTCGTCCATAAATTATAGTCTCATCGACTAATACATTGAGAGAGTTTTAGAAAGAATAAATTTATTATTATTGTTGTGAAGTTTTCAGTTAACTACTTACTAATTAAGTAGAGAAGTCACATCATCATATTATTGTAAACGAAATTACGTACCAGTCACATAATACAAAGATTCTATTTATAGAAGTGAGAACATCATGTCAGTTCTACTATACGGAGCTCAATCTTGGAGAACTAATACAACCATCATCAAGAACGTACAAGTATTTATTAATAGTTGTCTACGCAAGATACTCAACATCCATTGGCCGGATACCATCAGTAACAGCCTACTGTGAGAGAGAACAAACCAGCTGGCAGTTGAAGAGGAAATTAGGGAAAAACGATGCAAATAGATAAAACATACATTACGCAAATCATCAAACTACATCACGAGGCAAGCCCTAACTTGGAATCCTGAATGGAAGCGGAAAAGAGGAAGGCGAAAGAACACATTACTTTGGGAAATGGA